TGTACAGCTCTAAAAGTTATGAGTATAATGTTAAAATGAACCCTAAAATTTAGTGGCAACCAATGAAGAGAAGCCAAAACTGGAGTAATGTGTGACCTCTTGTTTGTGCCAGTTAAAAGTCTCGCCGCAGCATTCTGTACAGTGTGAAGCTCCAGAGCTGATTTGTTGAGACAAGTAAAAAGACCATTACAATACTCCAAGTGAGTAGAGATAAAAGCATGAAGAATCATCTCAAGTTCTGCCTTTGACACCAGTCTGAGTTTAGAAATGTTTCTTGGATGATAAAAACAGTTTTGAAACAGTTGTTTAGAGAGTTTCTCAAGCAACATTGAACTGCCGAAAATAACACCTAAGTTTCTGAGACTCGATTTAATGGAAGGACCTAAAAACTGATCTGCTGCCTAATTTCTGAAGACATGTGATCAGGAGCAATGATCAAAGTTTCTGTTTTATCCGTATTAAACTGGAGAAAGTTGAAGTTTCACAATTATTTGATTCCTGAAAGACAATTATTTAAACAAGAAAATGTATCAAACTGAGAATCTTTGAAAGAACAGTATAACTTAATGTCTGAATGTCATCAGCGTAGAGATGATAAGAAATATTATTGTAATATCTGATAATTTGGCCTAGAGCAGGGGTGGGGAACTCCAGGCCTCGAGGGCCGGTGTCCTGCAGGTTTTAGGTCTAACCCTGGGTCAGCACACCTGAATCAAATTCATTACCAGGCCTCTGGAGAACCTCAGGACGTGTTGAGGAGGAATTTAACCATTTAAATTCAGATGTGATGGATCAAGGAAACATCTAAAAACTGCAGGACACCAGCCCTCGAGGCCTGGCGTTTGTCACCTGTGGCCTAGAGGACGTATATAAACCAAAAAGAGAATCGGGCCTAAAACAGATCCTTGAGGTACCCCAGAAGGCAGAACGGATGTTTCAGACAACACATGATTCATACAGACAGTCAAAGATCTCTCAGATACAGTAGATACGACAAACCATTTTAAAGCAACACCAGTAATCCTGAACAAGTCCTTCAGCCTATTTATCATGATGCTGTGATCAACAGTATCAAAAGCAGAGGAGACATCCAACTCAGTGCACTCTCCAGAGTCTGCTGCCATCAGAATGTCACCACACACTTTAAGTTAAGCCATCTCAGTGGAGGACAGTTTACAGAAACCAGACTGGAAAATGTCCAGAACACTGTTTTTCTCCAGAAAGTCGTTAAGTTGTTCTGCAACTGTTTTTTCCACGTTCGTTCAATGATTCATTACAATCAGATTTAGTATAGACTGGTACACGAGGAATATCAGGAGAGACAATTTCATAATTGTATCAAACAATACTTTGGTTCTTTTCTGAAGCCATTAGATTTGAAAACTATTCAGTTCCAGCTTTTTTATCATGTTGTTAAGTGAGGATATTGATTCCTTGAGATGTACTCGATGAACCTCAAGCTTGGAAGCCTTCCATAAACGTTCTAACTTGACAGAATATCTCTTGAAATTTTGAGTATTTTCATTTATCCAGGGATAGAAATTTGAAGAATGGACAACACTTTGCTTCAGAGGTGCCGCTGTGTCTAAATAAAATGGACAAAGTGTTGTCTCCAGGAGTTTAGCTGATTTAGAGTGGCCAGGTACGGTGGGTGTGCTCCGGTTAAAGAACACGGAGGCAGACTTCCAAATTCAGGTGATTTATTCGGTCTGTAGTGAGGATACAGTCACCTGACCTAAACCCAGTGGAGATGGTTTGGGATCAGTGTTGGGCAAGTGACTTTGAACAAGTAATTATAGTTAGTAGTTACCAAGAAGTAACTAGTAACTATTAGAGATGGACCGATCCGATATTACGTATCGGTATCGGTCCGATACTGACCTAAATTACTGGATCGGATATCGGAGAAAAATAAAAAATTAATCCGATCCATTAAATATCACGAAAGCACCTCACCAAAACTTGCAACACGCCGTAACTCACCTCAGAACGTTAGCACGTCGGAGCAGTATGCATCACGTGATAGAGCAGCTGTGGCATGCGGGACCTGTCGGTGGTTCTGGATAGCATTTGGAGCTTCGCTAGCAACCCGGCATTTCATCTCCGACAAAGTTATCCCCGAGAGAAGTAAAGCAAGTGTGTAAGTCCATCTCTGAATGTTTGTAAAGCATTCCTGCGTTAAGCTTAACAAACGGACTGCCTCTCGCTCTCCGGCTGCTACTTCAATCATGAAAACTGCTTAATGATCAGCTGATCGGCTTTTCTGTCGCGAGTCCGTCTCTCTTGTTTGTTTTTGGCCCACTTTGCACCAGAAAGAGGAAACCAGCGGCTGAACAACAGCAGCACGTTTAAGCTTGATAAGCTGTTGTTACAATTTATTTAATATTACTTTCTACACCAGGATCTTTTTCTACGTAGCTGACGCTGGTAACTGTGCAGGGCGGATCTAGCAAAGTTTAGTCAGGGGGGCCGATAGGGCATTAACAGGGGAAAGGGGCACAAAGACATACTTTTCTTTCTTATTCTCATTTAAAATGTCTAGCTTTTAATAAATAATTATCTGACACCCAAAGTTTTAATTT